TCGTAACCAGACAGAATGAGATGAGGTAATCATACAGAGACGAAAAGAGAGGAGGGAGAAGAGACAAAGGAGAGGAAAATACAATGCCCACTCCTGCTTCGGGCTCCCTCCTCTACTACCACCTCAATAATCAATAGTCTGAACGAGTATCTGAAGTATCCTCAATGTGCCACGTGGCACGTCTAATCAGTCCCACATCAGCACTGGAGCAATGTCGACATGAAGACAGCCAGGTACGTATCCACAAACTCTCCACAGTCCTGATCTCCTCCTGAAGTGATGATGAACAGAACAGCAATGCCGATCATGTAGTCCCAGCCATAGAACACGTGGCAGCAGCCACATCAGCGACAGCGCATGGCAGCTGCCACATCAGCATGCCAAGAAGACAGGAGCAAGCCGGCCACCATGCCGGACTAGCAGCGCCTCGCTAAGTCACAATGCCAGCATCGCAGCGTCGAGCCAGCGTTGAAGTCAACGCGTGAAGTCAGCATCAATGGAAGACAGAATGAATGTCAAAGCCAGGAAGTCAGCGCTTATGTAGCGTTGACGCCGGGTTTGGACCCCGGTTGCTGCCTCCCTCAATCGTCCAGATCTCAATGCAAACGAGGGCCCAGATTGGTCTGAAACCGAATTCTCTCCGGCCTGGATGCTGTCTGGGTACCTGCGCACAACAAGTGAGTGTATCCAACCAAGGGCCTGGGTGCGGTACCGTTGACTCTACAGTTGACTTTGACCCTTGAATTTCCAGTGTGCAGTGTTCGGTCACACAGCCATTCACGACAGACTCAGGCCTGGGTGTGTCTTGGTCACACAGCCCAGCGCAGACCATCTCAGGTCTGCGTGGCCTGGGGCTGAGTTCTGGGGCCCAGGTTACTTCTGAACAGGGTTATTACATTCCTGCCGGCTCATTTTCGAGTTCACCGCAGAAATATTTAAGACTTTAACCCGCGTTCATAAGCAGCGACAATATCAGGAGCAGTTTCAAGTAGTTCTCGTTTACTAAACCATCTGTCCTCAGATGGTGCTTGAGTTTTAAAACGTACTTTGAACTGCTTCTGAGGTCGTCCACGTCCTCCCGTAGAGAAGTAACCATGCTCTATGATCCTGTCAACCTCGTATCCGCCATCCATGTCTGGTGGAATCATAGAGGGTCTGTGTGGAAACTCGTTTCCTTCTACGTAAGGCAACAATTTGGACGCATGAAGGACAGGATATGTTTTGAGATGAGGGGGAATATCAACTCGATAAGACGGTCCCTCTGCATCTCCAATTACCTTGAGAACTTCCCAGGATCCAAAGTAGACAGGTAGCAATTTCTGGGACACATCTTCTTCTAGTGAAAACTCTTTAGATTTTACCGTAGCAATTTCTGGGACACATCTTCTTCTAGTGAAAACTCTTTAGATTTTACCCAAACCGTCTTTGAATGTAGACGGTTGACGGTGCCTGTTGGCCTGTTCAATCATCCGTAGTTGAGCTTTCCTTAGATTATCTTTAACTTTCTGAATGTCCTCCTGAAACAAGATTGCATATTCTCGGGTCCTTGGGGGCAACCTAAGGAACTGGTCTTGATTTAGTACATCAATGGGACGTTTAGGCTTCCATCCTTTGTGAAGTGCATTTGGGGTTCGTCCAGTAGAGGTGTGGACACTATTGTTATATGCACTCACAATTTTATGTAAGTTCTCGTCCCAATCAATCTGATGGGGTCTAATATACATATGCAGAAGCTGCTGGCACAGACGGTTCATTTGTCCAGTCTGGCCATTCGTTTCGGGATGCCTCCCTGACGACATGGTCAGCCGTGTGCCATAAGCTTCCATTAGCTTTTGCCATGGCAGACTGGTGAACCTGACATCTCGATCAGACACAATGGTTTTAGGGAACCCATATTCAGTGACCCATCGCATCTAAAATTTTTGAATGACAAGTTCAGTACGCGCTTCTGCTGGTAATGGAACAAACATAACGTATTTAGAGACATGGTCTACAATTACCATCACTTGACTAATACCATTGTGACTTTTAACCAGACTCATGAAGTCAATTGAGATAGACTCACCTGGTTCATTTGGTATGGGTAATGGCTTGAGAAGCCCAAGGGGATTTTCATGCGACGGTTTGTTTCTCTGACACACTAAACAGGTACGAACATATGTTAGTACATCTTCTTTAAGTCCCTTCCATTCGAAACGTTCTATGACTTCAGCATATGTTTTCTTGAAACCAAAATGACCCTCAGAATCGTGACATTCTCCAATCAACAAACTTTTAATCTCTTCCTTATGAGGAATACACAGTCTTTGTTCGGTTTGGTCAATCAAGAACAACAATCCATCAGTCAGTCTATAGTTGGGTAGTTGGGACGGATCTCGTACAAGGATATCCATGATTGATTTCCAGATAGGATCAGTAACATATCCTTGGCGAATCTGGTCTTTCAAATCATTCCCAACATCCAAGTAAGAGACAATTGCACCAAAGAAATCACTCCGTCTGGACAATGCATATGCAACCACATTAGAATTACCTTTGATCGTTTTTAATTCAAAATCGAAGGTATCAATAAACGCAGATCATCGTACCAGCTTATTAGAGAGCCTAGACTATGTCTTTATCCACTTTAGAGTAGAGTGGTCTGAGTACACAGTAAAGTGCCTCACTAATAAGTAGTGCTTCCATGTGTTTAGTGCATAGAATAAGGCATACAACTCCCTTTCATAGGTGGAGTTGGCCACTTTTTCCGACGGCTGTCATGCAGACATAAATTTTATGGGCCTGTAGCCCTTGCCGTCATCTTGCTGGAGAACAACGCCAATTCCATACTGACTTGCATTAGTAGTGACAATGAAAGGTAAAGACGGGTCACCAATCTTAAGAACGGGGTAGTGAGTCAGGGCATACTTCAATTTTCGAAAGGAAGACTCACAATCCTTGTCCCACAACCAGATTGTTTCTTTCTTTAAACCACCAGTACCTTTGAGCCTGTTTTTGCCGACCCTGATTTTCACTGCGCTCCGAGTTTTGCCGAGCCTGGGTCCCACTCCATTTCTTTATGGTACTCTCACGGGAAGGAAAAAAAAAAAAAAAAAAAAAAAGTTGCAGCCGTGAAAACTCACAAAACAAGAAAAAGAAACAAAGCTCTAGACGTGATTGCAGCTATATACATTTTCGGAAGTGTTAGTGTGAGTGTGCCTTCAGTGAGGGCATCTCAGCCCCGTGGCCAGGTTGTCAGAGGCCAAAAACTCAAAAAAAAAAAAAAAAAGATAGGAACATGGATTTGGCGGTGAAAACGGTAAGATACATTCTCGTAAGTGCCAGTGTGATCAGGGTTACAATCCTCTGAGGGAACACATCTCGAGCAAATCACGGATTCAGATTGTCAGATTCCAAAAAAAGAAAACAAGAAAAAAAAAATGGAAACACGGATTCGGCCTTGAAAACGGTTGGATACATCAAGCTTACAATCATCTGAGGAAACACAGCTAGAGCAGATCACGGATTCCGCCCTGCCTCGTTGGCAGGGGACACATAACAAACAAAAGAGAAAAAAAGAAAAAGAAAACGACAAGTTCAAAATGTGCCCGTCTTTGTTGTAAGATGCATTCAAGACTGTGAGCACGGCCCCCTAGACTACCCTGCCCGACATCATTGCAGTACAAAGGCCTTTTTTTTTTACGGCAAAAGAAAACTACGATTTTTGGGACATCGCCGACCCTGTGTCCGAACCCCGAAAACTTCGGGTACTGGCCAGGATAACGTAATTTCCCAACACTGGCGGAGGTACTAGTGGTTTAACAATCTTCGCATTGGTGCAGCAATCAGTGAGAAGTTTTTGACAAACTTCCTATAATAACTAGCTAGACCAATAAAAGATCGCAATTCAGTAATTGACTTTGGTTGTGGCCAATCTCTTATTGCTGATATCTTTTTCTCTTCTGGTCTTAGACCTTCTTCGTTTACTATGTGTCCTACGTTTAACACTTCGGACTTAGCAAACTCAGACTTCTTTGGGTTAATCTTGAAGTTGCCCTCACGCAACTTCCCTAGCACCAAAGGAAGGTGCTTCTCATGATCTTCTAGTGTCTTACTGTACACTAGAATATCACCGAGATAGACAATGATAAACTTATCCGACCATTGACGAAACAAGTCATTCATTGACCTTTGAAAAGTGGCAGGGGCATTCGTTAATCCGAAGGGCAGTACCACGAACTCGTAGTGGCCATACCTGGTTCGAAAAGCGGTGTTATGCTGATCGGAGGGTTCCACCTCGATCTGGTGATACCCAAATTTCAAATCGATCTTGCTAAAATACCTGCAACCCTGTAACTGGTCAAGCAAGTCGTTAATTCGTAGAAGAGGTCCGACATTCTTAATAGTGACGACATTCAACCCTCTATAATCAATACAGAGGCGCAACTCACGTTCCTTTTTGGGCACAAGTAGGACAAGGGCACCATAAGGAGAAGA